AGGGGGTATTCTCTAGGACTAAGCCTAGGAGGTAGGGAAAGGAGGAACTGCGGGGAAAAGGAAGTGCTCCGCTCCCTGAGGGCTCTCCTTACCGCCTGAGGTCTACTTCCCTTTTCAACAAAAAGGAGATGTTTTATGTAGTTTTAAGTGCACTGCCACCACAATACTCCCGTATATACCGATCCCAATTTATGCGGGGAATGTGCTACGGGATTTTTGTAGGGGGAAGAAGTTAGGCTGGTGTCAGAGTCCGCGATCCGTCGCAGGTTTCGCGAAAATCGCGAAATCGCGAAAATCAGCGAAACCTGCGACGGATCGCGGACTCTGACACCAGCCTAACTTCTTCCCCCTACAAAAATCCCGTAGCATCATTCCCCGCATAAATTGGGATCGGTAGATACGGGAGTATTGTGGTGGCAGTGCACTTAAAACTACATAAAACATCTCCTTTTTGTTGAAAAGGGAAGTAGACCTCAGGCGGTAAGGAGAGCCTTCAGGGAGCGGAGCAGTTCCTTTTCCCCGCAGTTCCTCCTTCCCCCACCTCCTAGGCTTAGTCCTGGAGAATACCCCCTCTTGTGATAACGCTCAATTAGGCATGGTGAAGGAGCACTGTTGCAACACACGTCCTTTCCCTCGCAGAGCAGACTCATTAAGTATTTGATATAGGCGCTTTGCGCATCTTCGTTCACTATTCACTATTCCGGTGCTTTCTGTGTGCCATACTTCAATGCGTTCGAGAACCGGATTTTGAGAGTACAATTCCTTCAAATTGGTTTTGACGAACTTTACCCTCTAAAATTCCTGTTTCAGCAGACGGAAAAGTTTCTCGAACTCGCCTTTTCCCTATATTATATTACTTGTCGACGCAAATTCTTATCCTTTTGCTAATCATAACTGCTGGGATACATTTCTCTCGTGATACACGGCTGTGCTGATTTAAATTTTTTTACCACTGATATTTTTAGATGTCTTCCGTAGTTAAACTTGAACCCTTATCCGGTGTCAAGGATGAAGGACCACTATGTTATTTATTACAGGTATTCAGTTTCTTTCAACATC